TAAAGTTTGGGGTTCACAGGTTAAACTTATATTTACCACTTAGCAATCATATTTAAATATTTCTAAAGCCAAGTTAAGGCTGACAAGAATCCCTTATTACCCTTAGTTACCATATATAAGGCATAAATGTGAATGGTTCCTCTGCTAGCTGCCCTGAATGTAAATTGTTGCAAACTGCCTCAGCCTAGTTTCTGAAGTCTGGGGTTATTGAGTAGCTCAACTGGAAAGCTTATGGAGAATTTCTAGTCTACTGGCAGAGAGCGATAAATGCAATAGGCAAGTGGAGTGCTCAGGAGCCAGTTTCCACCAAGGAACCTTTAGGTATCTGTCGTAGAGTAGCCCTGACCATGGCCTCTCAGTTGTTCTCAGTTTCTATTGGCCCACACAGCCAGAGATCAGTCTCCACAAAGGAATCCAGGTGTCTCTCTGCACAATATTCTATCAGCCATTGGCTTCAATGGGGATTCACCAAAGAGATGCTGGGGAAACCTCTCCTCTGCTTTAAAGAGTGGCAGCTGCTCTAAGAGCACTTCACTAGCTGGCAGAGTGACCACTGGTTGTCAAAATTCTACAAGCAATAGTTAAAAGCCTGAACAAGATTACCTAGCACTACACCTAGGAGAAAGGAAAAGATGGAGATCCTTCCTTAGACCAAACATGTTTTGGTCCCAGAAGTGTGCTGCTTTCAGAGATAGCTCCTTCTGGTGTCACCCAGAATTTGGTTCTCTCCACTGTGTCTCAGATTCAGCCTCCCGAGGGAAACCTGCCCAGAACACTAAGCTGGGACATGGCTTTTATGTGTAATCTCCTGGACGGGCAAAATTCCGATGTCTCCTCTGACCCAGAGATGGGGTATGTGTTTTTCCTCTAAGGTGACTTTGCTCTCTTTGGCGTTAACAAACGCTCACAGAAGATGAGCTTAACTTAGTTGGAACAGTCTAAAGTTCTTTACTCCATGTGAGCTAGACTTAAAAAGACCTGTCTTACAGTTTATATCAAAGTTCACTAAGAGCATTCTAGCATTACTCTCCCTAGCTAAATAACATCAAACAAGGAAAACCAGTACATTTAGCAACTAGTTCAAACACATCAAACGCAACGTATTCCAACATGTTCTGGAAGAAAACAGGAATAAAATGTTCCATTAAAGAAATATCATAACCTTAAAATGGAAAAATAAAAACTCCCAACCTGAATGATATCTGCGATGAGTTCATGTTTTCTAAAATTGAAGAATGAATTTTAGGGAACCACAGAGTTTAAGAGCACAATATATTTATTGAGGGAAAAAAAAAGAAAGCCTCTGTCCAAGAGAGGGACAGAAGGGGGACCTGAGTGGGTTACCCTGGACTCTGTCTTTTCTTAGGGACTTTTATAGAGCAGAACCACAAGGTGAGGCGGGTAGAAGGAATGGGAAAATGGACAAAACTATGGTCAGCCAATAAGAATTGTTCAGGAGAAATGATTAAATTGGGATCAAATGGGGAAGGGAGTCACATAGCAAGTGGGCATGAATACAGAGCAGGGGCTTTTTATGTAAGGGGTTGGGTCAAGGACCCTTCAATGTGATTCCTACCTATTTAGAATATCAATCTCTCATGTCCATGCCTAGGGAAGTCTGTGGGTGCATTTGTTTAGTCCTTTGTCTTGAGGTCTGGCCCACAGCAAATAGTATCTTTCATGTTGGCTCTTTCCAGGGCCTGGCCTTGTCTGCCTGCCTATAATATTTCTGTCTAACTCACCTGCCAATAATAGTCTTGAAGACTTACTTTTATGTTCATGTCCCTGTACCTTACTCTTGAAAACTGCTTTCGTTTTGAAGCTCTCATTTCTGACTTGATTTCTTCATGCTAGTCTCCAATACTTAATTTTTTACTCTAATTTTCTTTACCCTCTTCTCAAAGACTCCCTTTTGTACTCAAATTCTACTTTTGGACTCGGGTCCCAGTTCCTGCCACCAATATGTCGTTCTATTCACCGTGTCAAGTCCTGAGAACAAGGTACCCACAGATGAATATAAAAGTAAGAAAAAAAGATAACCATGAGAGGCAAAATTCTGGGACCAATGGGCTTTCAGCATCTCAAATGGCAGCTCCAATCATCAATTTCAGTAACTCTTGCTCAGAAAGAACAAAAGAAGCAGCAGTGCAAATGGGAGGATCTCAACTGATCTAGCAAGAATGATAAATAAGACTTGACTAATTAGCCATCATATTATCATTCCTTAGGGGATATGTCAGCAAAGAATCTAGTGTTGAGCCCAGGGCTTTCAATACTTTTGCTAGACTTCTTCCAGAACCGAATAATCATGGCTTGGTCAGGACTGAGGCAATACACAAGCTAGAAACTAAAGAATGTCCTTCTCCACAAGGCTTTCTCTCTCCCATGGAAGGGTCAAGTGCCTGAACTGATGAGCACTCTGAATTCACTTCTCAGAAACAAATTATCTAGGTTGCTGCCATTTTGGGACCTAGTGCAGCAGCCACCGCCATTCTGGCACGGGCTGCTGTGCTGCTTTCTTCTCAAAGCAAAGTCTTCCAACCTTGCACTTTTGAGGTTGCGAAGAGCGAAGACTTGCTGCTTCTTTTGATGTCCCTGAGGCCATCTTTTCCATAGACCTGTTCCTCCTCAATAATCAAGATCTGTCTTCTATCTTTATAGTCTACAGCTTTTCTGGAGCTTCCTTTCTGGCCAAAGTCACAGCATTTTAGTCATCCTGCTAGGCTCTTTGCTCTTGATTCTCAACATAAATCTGGCTAAAAGCCCCCAACAACAGCCATGCCACTGCTGCAACATTCAACTGCCTTGAAATTTCTTCTGCCAGTTTAATTAGTCTGCTGCCCTTAATCTGAGACTAAGGAAAAATCTCTGGATGTGAGCAAAATGCAGACAACTTTCTGCCAAGCCTTAACAAACATCATCTGGAGTCCAGCAACCAATGCAGTCCTTCTTCCCTGCAGAAACCTCCCAAACCCAGTCTTTATGAGCAGGATTTCTATCAGCCTTCTGGTTTCTGACCTCTGACTGGAATCTCCCATACAGTACAGCTGAAGGCACTCCAGCACTTCTCTTTCAGGCAAAATCTCTGAACCTTTCCAATCTCTTCCCATAAACCATTTGCAAAGGCTCTTGAACCACATGGTCCAGCACTGTCACAGCAATGACCCCACCTCTCGGGTACCAAATTCTGTCTTGGTTCCTTTTCTCTCATTGCTGAGACAAAATACCTGATGCCCAAAATGAAGGAAGGAAAGGTTTATTTAGCTCACAGTTTGTAGAATTCTCAGTCCATAATCAGCTAGCTTCAAGGCAGGGTGACACACGGCAGAGGTCAACAGTTTATGACTGCAGAAAACAGCAAAAGCAAAACGGGAGGAGCAACAGAGAGCAAAACTCTTTCCCTCCCTTATATTATATGCAGGCCTTCTGCTTCAGGGCAGGTATAGTACTCACAATCATAATCGTAGCTTTGGACCATGGATCCATCATAAGCTCTACAGGCCCACCCCATGACTGCATGAGGCTTTGGGGAGATAACTAGACACAAACCATAACAAATAGAAATAAAAAAAAGCCTGAGAAATGAGATTATTTCTTTTCATCCAATGGAGACTAATAATAATTAACATTTTATTAATCATTTGAAGAAATCTCTAGATGGAGAGATCCTGTCTCAGTTGCTTTTCTATGCTTCCTGAGACAAAAGACAGAATGCCAAAAAATAAGGAAGGAAATGTTTATTCAGCTCACAGTTCGTGCAACTTTCAGTCCATAATCAGCTTGCTCCGAGGTAAAGTGGCACATAGAAGAGGGCCACAGCTCATGGTGGCAGAAAACAGCAAAAACAGCAAGAGCCAAAAGGGAAGAGCAGCAGCAAACAAGCCTGTTTCCTTCCCTTGTATTGTATGCAGGCTACCCACTCTGCTACACGCAATGCAGGGTGGGTGCAGCACTCACACCCATAATCCCATTCACCATGAGTCAATCAAAAACCAGGAGCCCACCCCATGACAGCATAAGGCTTTTGGGGGACATCTAGACACAAATCATAAGAGGTCCTAAAACCAGATCCCCACCTATTTTGTAAATAATGAGAATAACTGGTTGACAACAAGGGATTAAAATCCAAAGAAATACGAAACTAGTAGAATAGATAATAAAATTATAAAAGTAGGCATTGGAATAACACCTATAAAAACAGCATCAGTAAAGTCCTACTTTGCTTTGCATGTATCAAGAAGAGAGAATAAAAGTCTTGTACTTTAAAAAAGCATGGGTGACACATCTGTGTTGTGAACCTTTATAGGTGAATCAACTGAGAATATAAATGTGGCCTCCAAAACAGTTGTTCGGGGTTTCCCAACAGTCCCGCATATTATTCAACATTATTTTAAGTTCAAATATTTGGTAAGATTGTGTTCCACCCATGAGAAAAATGACAAATATAAACGGCTTTAAAGACGGCCTAAACAAGACACCTAGAGATATTTATCATATACTTTTAAGTAAGTTGATAAATGGAAGCAAAATTATTATTTGTTGAACTCTATCACAAAGGGAAATTAATCTCTAATAGGCAAAGGATGTAGTTTGGCTATCAGAGAACAATGGTTTACAAATGAATCTAAAAGATCTCAAAAATAGTGTCAGGCTGGGGTCAGAGAACTTCTATTGTGTGCTCGAAAAGTGACAGCATTTTCGTTGAAACACACATTTTGCTAGATTGTTCAGGTCCAGTACAAATTTAGAGTTGCATCAAAAATGTTTTCAGTTACTAGGGCAAATGGGTATATATCAAGAACATCCCTAGGCTGAGGCTTGAGCAGATCCCACTGGACATCCACAGCATCACAAAGTCTAGGCTGTCACAAAGGCAGCTGCTGACCAATGAGAGAGGAGATGAGGACACAATGTGCAGGTCTGAGGGCTGAGGGCCTCACAGAAGTAGTACAGCTCATGAATTGGCCAGGGTAGACCAGAGCGCAAAACTAGCAGCCATCATGTGTGAAGAAACGAACCAAGACGGTCCCTATGAAGACAGCACTGAGCAGGAAGACCCTGCTTCAAGTCCTGAGGAGCAGTTCCCTGTGGCTCACATATATTGCATTCTGCCTGAAGAATACAACCCGGCCTTGTCATCCACGACATACGACTTTCTCCACGCCATGGTCGACTCACTTACTGATTACGTCTTGAAGCTGGTATGCTCCGAGGGCAACAACAACGTCGGGATGCCCGCCAACGCCGAAGACGGAGAGACAGAAGCCGACAACAACCGTGAAGGTCCCCCTGTCATCCTGGATGTGTCCTTCCTATTCTCGGATGAGGCACCTGAGCCGAGAAACAATGCCTGAGAAGTGCTGAGCAGCGCCTAGTTGGAAGCCTCTGAGGCTCAGCCAGGGCCATGATGTCTCATGGAAGGGGAGGCCCCACTGTAGTCAGCAGCAAATACTAATAAAGGCTTTCAGTCATGGCAGTATTTTTGGCTTTGTTTCTGTCCTTTTGCGTAGGAGACGTCTGAGGGACATGGGGGAGCGTTGCCCTCCAGAGCGTTGCTGTGTGGGCTGAGGGCAGGGGTGGGAGGGAGGCTGCGGTCAGCCTGAGGCCTTTGGATTGCTGATTCCAGGGGGGAGTTTCAGTGGGGGTGGTGAGTGCCCTGGTCTCAAGGGAGGAGGTGGTTGTGGTAGAAAGCAGAGCAAACATGCTTAGTGGCTAGGAGTGAAGAAGGCCCTGGGAGGCCAGGCATATGTGTAGGGGTCCCCTAGGCATGTTGCATTCTCAGCAACCAGAGAGGAGCTGAAGACCATCACTGAGGTGGGGAAGGCTTTTTGCATGTTCGGGAAGGTCTGAAGTGAACAGCAGATGGGAATGGATGTGTGGTTTTGCCCAAGGGTGGGGAAATGTTGGCAAGAGCTGAGTCGGATGGAGCATTTCCATGAAGACTGAGGTGGGATGGGGAAATGACGAGGAAAAGTACAAATAAGGAGTTGTGCTCTGGTTTAATTTTTTCATTATTTTCTTCGCACTGCCTCATTCAAAAAGATTAATTGATGTCGAGAGCATTTGCTAGCATTGTGAATGCACTTTTCTATCTGCTGTTGTGGAGAGTGCTAAATTTAAACAATGTATGAAATGGGTAATAGCTCAGTGGCACAATGCCTGCCTGACAAGGGCAAAGTCCTGAGTTCAATTTCCGTATCAAAAAAAAAAAGAATTTTTCTGTAGGAAGAATTATCTTACCAACAACAGGTAATGTAGTACTAAACAAAACACTAGTTAGTGGGTATTAATTTTTAGTGAAAATATGTACTTATAATATTATTCATTTATTTTTTTTTTTTTGATGTTTTGAGACAGGGTCTCACTATGCAGTTCAGGCTGGCCTTCAGCTCACTTTTTAGCCCAGGCTGGCCTTGCACTCCCCATGATCCTCACCCTCCTGAGTGCTGGGATTACAACCATGCACCACCATCCTGGCTACTTTATTTACTTTAAAACACAATCATCAGTCTTACATTAGAGATCATCATTTATTGACCAGATACAGTATTTAGAATAGTGATGAAATATCAGTGCCAGGATACGTCCTTTGATAGGTTGCTGTGGTTTGTTGGTAGATGTCCCCTCAAAGCCTCATGTGGTCATAGATGGACTTTTATGGAGGTGGCTGAATCTAGAGTGTGTGATGCTGGGATTAAGGGTGTGTGTTTACTAAGTCAGTGTACTGATTGGTTTGGCATTGTCCCAATCCCAGGATCCTGGATACAATACAAGGATCAGAGTGAGACTTGTCTTCTCCCTTCCTTGCTTTTGCTGTCCTATGCTGCCATGAACTGTTTCTCCTGTGTTATTCCCCTCTGCCAAGGCACCCTGCCTTGGAGCCAGGTGATTACAGGCTGAGGCCTCTGCAAACTTTGAGTTAAATAAACCTTGCTTTTTTAACTTTCCGTGTTGTGTGTTTTGTCTCAGCAATGAGACGAAAGTAACTGAGACAGAGTTTTAAGTAGAATATAGATAATTCTGTCCCAAATGATAAAATCAATCTATATACCATTTTAACAAAGGTGCTCCTGTGCAATTTTAAATAAATAGGATTCATATCAAGTGCTGCAGCAATCTTCCCCTTGCCCCTGAGGATCTCCATAGGATGTGTCCACTGTCTGTCGTGTCTTCCACTGCCATCCTCCATTGATTGTTGTCCATTCACACAGTTACACAGAGGCTGTCTGTCTTGGTCTTTTTTCTCTCATTGCTGAGACAAAATACCCTTCACCCAAAATTAAGGATGGAAAGGTTTATTTAGCTTATAGTTTCAGGAGGTTTCAGTCCATAATCACCTGGCTGCAAGGCAGGGTGTCATGGCACAGGACAGCACTCCAAGGCAGCAGAAGACAGCAAAAGCAGCAGGTGCACTGGGGTGGGGAGGCAGCCTCTTCTCCTCCCTTATATTGTACACTGGCTACCACCCCAAGGGCAGGTGTAGTACTCACACAGTCTCCATGCCATCCTCTTGCACAGGAGGAGGATGTCCACAAAGTAAGGGCCCTGGCTCCCTGCTGAGTCACTTAGTGAACCTTCTAAACTTCTCAAGTTGACACAATGTATCATGCATGACAGTGCCCTGTCACTTTCTATAACAGAATCGGAAAACCTGGGTTTCCTATTCCAATGTACAACTGCATGGCCATGTGACTTGAACATTCTTCTGCTCCCTCTAAACAATAAGCAGTTTTTTCTTTGGATGAAGATGAAGCTTCTGAGTCCCTCCATCTGGAAATTTTCCAAAATTTAAGTCCTTGTGTACTGGTAACCCTGCTTTTTCCCCCTTCTTGTGGTATAGAGCAGCCTTTAGTAACAAGATATGTATGTCCTGTTCACTAAATCATGTGCTCAGACATGCTTACCCACAGTGCACTGGGCCCGGTACTCAGGATATAAGCTGGGTTCTGAGACCACTGGCTGTGGACTTTACCATGTGTGACCTGTTGAGGAAAGACAATAGAGTGCTATGCAGGACAGAAAAGCCAAAGGAGATGGCCACAGCAGGCAAGTTTCTGTATTTGCCAGTTAAATCAGAACTCCATTCATTTATGTATGCACAGAAAAATAAAGCTTATAACTTCAAACCTAGAATTCTATTTTGTGTCAGGTGCAAACAGAAAAGGGTAAAGTCTCTTGTTTATATCAGAAAGCTGTTTTCTTCCCATTATTATGAAATTCTTCATACAGTTGACTGACATACATGAATAGAAAAATAAAACACCGGTAGACTAGATTCTTTCTTGTCCTTCATCTAACAGAGACCACATTATTAGTAATCTTCAGATGGTTTTTAGAAATCTTCAGATGGTCAGGTCCTAAAACCAGGTTCCCAACCACATTGTCAATAATTAGAATAACTGGTTGGCAGCAAGGCAATAAATAAAAAACCAATAAAAATTCATAGAGTGAAAAATTGAATTATAAAATTAAACACTGAGGGCCAAGTCCAGCCCAGCCCAGCCCAGGTGGGAGGCCTAGCAACCCATCAAGGCCTAAGAAGTGGTGCACAGCATAGGCAGGTGAGACCAGTGGTGTGGAAAATTCCTAAACAGCACTAAGAACACAAGCCAGCCTTTTATAAGTTAGGTCAACCAGGCATTTATGCTTTGGCACACAGACAGGTGGAACAGATGCTGGAGGGTGGGGCTGCAGTTCTTTTTTAATTAAAGAGATCTGGAAGAGCTCCAGGAATAGAGGACCCAACTCCCACATCCAGAGGCCAAGATCAGCCCCATACCCAGCAAACTTCTTTGGAGTACACATTTCTGAGATCTGACCTGGACACTGCCATAGAACTGTACACAGCAGGAATTTTACTGCTTTCATTTTTCTATGTTTGTCTGATTGATTTTCTTTTCTCTGTTTTCTGGGGGTTTTGTTCCTTTGTTTTGTCTTGTTTGTTTTTTGTGATTTTGTCTTTCATTTTTTTCCTGTTCTCTTTCTTTCCTGACTTTGATATATTACCTTTATTTTTGTTTTCTTCCTCTTATCTTTATTTTCCTATCAACTCTCTCACTTGAGTATATGTTACTTTCATGTGAATAAATGTTGTCTCTTTCTGGTTCACTTTAATGTTCCTTTGCTTTCTCTTTCATTCTTTCCCTCTTTTGCCTTACAGTTTCCCAAACTTGGGTGATCATCCTTTGCCCTCCAGCCTTGCTTCTATTGTATTTGCCATTATATATCTCTCTGTCTTGTCCCTTATCCCTCAAATCCCCCTACACACAACAGCATAAAATCACTCCACTTAAGGAAAACTCAATGCAGAGAAGTTCTTTGTATATGTTGCATTTTTTATATATAACTGTGGAATTTGGTCCTATGTTTCATGGTATCAGGCTAATAGTTACCACAGCTGTTCAGTAGCCAGGCTATGCTAGAGACTGTCATTATTGTTAACTGTACTACTTTTCTGGGATGTCATAACTGTTATAACTAGTTTTTCTCCCCTGTATGACAACACTATGATTGTATAGGGTCACACCTATCACTGTAGTCCAGTACCAAAGGCCTAGGTACTGAGCCAAATAGATAGCAACTTCTTATCATTAAAAGTTGGGAAAGCAGGTTCTTGCTATACACAAAGAACAAGAAACACATGTAGAAGACATCCCAGAGGATGTCTACGGAAGCTTCAGATCTAGAGACAATGCTACTGCCTTAAAAAATCCACAAGCATCAACAGAAAACAAAATAAAATAAAAATAGAAAATGACATGATGTAGACCCAAATGCAGTTGCAGACTGCCAATGCACCCACGAAACGTGCAGAGCGCAATGACATCTGAAGGCAACCACTGGAACTCTCTGAAATGAATAGCAAAAGGTGTGAAGAAACATGGAGGACAGTATCCAAAAACGTAATCTCTAAGATGCAAAAAGGAATGATGATCAAAGTGAAAGACATTAAAGTAGATAGAGATAAAAAACAGAGAAGCTCAGAAAAATGATGGAAACTAAAACTGCCCAACATAGTAAAGAAAGAGAACCTATGAAACAGATGCACACAGAATTCCAGGGGATTAAAAGCTACATTGGAAGTATACACAACAGAGTGAATGAAGGATAGAATAGAATGTCAGATCTAGGAGATAGGATTATGGTTAGAAACCATGGAGAGAATGATACATTAAATATAAGAAGAGACCATGAAATATCAGTCTAACAACTATGCAGTGAATCTTAGAAGAACAGCATAAGACTGATTGGAGTCAGTGAGAAAGGTGGACACAGCACATGAGCCATAAAAAAACCTCTTCACAGAAATAATGGCAGAAATCTTCCCATATATGGATAAAGAATTTGACTTAAA